GTGTGTCTGTGTGTGTGTGTGTCTGTCTGTCTGTCTGTCTGTCTGTCTGTGTGTGTGTGTGTCTGTATCTGTGTCTGTATCTGTGTTTGTGTCTGTGTGTGTGTGTCTATATCTGTGTGTGTGTGTGTGTGTCTGTGTGTGTGTCTATATCTGTGTGTGTGTGTCTGTGTGTGTGTGTGTGTGTGTGTGTGTCTGTGTGTGTTGTGTTTCAGTCAGAAGGAAAGAGGCTGGGTCTGGTTGGCTGGGTGCAGAACACTGATGCCGGGACGGTTCGAGGGCAGCTGCAGGGTCCGGCCTCCAAACTCCAGCAGATGCAGCAGTGGCTGCAAACCACCGGCAGCCCTCAGTCACGAATCGCCAAAGCAGAGTTCAAGAACGAGCGGGCCGTCGACAAACTAGACTTCAAGGATTTCAAAGTTGTTCGCTAACGACAGAACAACTCCATTAGTATTTATTTATTTATTTTATTTTTGACCTATTGTTCTTATTGACATTATATAACCTCTGTTCTATAATTTCAGAGTTCTGTGTTCTGTAAAACACTCTCCTCCTGATGTAATAAATAATATCATAGACTTAATGTCCAGCCCTGTTTCGTCATCGCTTCGCTTTCATTCACACATTATTGTGTTTCTTTATTTCACAATGTAATACATGGTAGTTTTGTTTCAACAAGAAACGTCTTAAAATGCAACAATAGCGTTGACATGATAAATTATGTAACAGTTATGTGAAATCTAAAATTAAAACAATTTGTCATTTTCAAATAACTATATACCAGATTAATTTGTGAAATTATGCATGATGTATTTTTTGTAGTTTAATATCAACAATGTATAAATGAAAATGAATTAGTAAAGGAGGGTTTAAATGTGTGTCCTTCCAGTATAATAACATCATTTTCATGTGTCGCCTGCACAGTAATAATGGTAATTTTGCATTATTTCTATTAAAGTTCTATAATATTTGAGGTATGTGCTTAAGCTTAATCCATTTCATTATCAGAAAAACATGTACAATTAGGCAAAAGTCTAATTGTAGACTTATATATATTAATGAGATGATCTGCTAAATGCCAAAAAATACAATTAAAAACTTCTAAAACACAAAAAGAAGTACAATCGGGGATAAACGAGAAGGTTTATCTCTGCTGGCCCTTGACTGGATTTTTATTTCCCATACCAATATTCACTTGCTCTCCAAAAAAAAAAAGACAAATTATTATTATACATATGTAAGAAAGAAATACATTTTTAAAAATAAAATATTAAATAGAAAAAAAATAAAAGGCCTACTGTAATAGCTGTAAATTACAGGGCTGATGGTACTAAACTCAGGTGCTTCCACAGTGATGTATCACTAGAGGTCGCTGAACGACCCATCTTCAGATGCTGCATCACACTGCCAGCAGCTACTGTATATACTGGAAAATCACCAACACTAAACTGCTGTCAGTGTGAAAACCCCTTTACATGAGGGAGATACTGTAGCTTTATCTCATCACTCCTGGTTTGTGGACAATCAATGTTATACGCGATGCAGCACACACGTCTGCCCACTTTTTGATTGTCAAGATTGCATCCCTACCTTTTGGCAAATTATTATTATATTTAAGTGTTTTGTTTTGCCTGGTTGTGTGAAGAACACATACAAGTCCTCTAAATATCATATTGCTCCAGGAGAGGAATCTGCACGGATCAAGCAGCGTTTACAAGCCAAAACAGTCTAAAACAGCTCTAAACTAATATGTGTGTGGATTTTGATGTGAGAGACTTTTTCACTGGAGGAAGAGTTATGGATTATGGACTCGTGTTTTAGTTAAACACATCTTAATGCTGGATGTGTTTCAGCTTTTGTCTTCTCCAGATGTTCACTGATGGACTGGAGTGCTGTGGATTATTGTGATGTTTTTATCAGCTGTTTGGACTCTCATTCTGACGGCACCCATTCACCTGCAGTGAGCAAGTGATGCAATGCTACATTTCTCCAAATCTGATGAAGAGACAAACTCATCCTAATCTCGGATGGCCTGGGCAAACCATTCCTTTAAGTTAGTTAGCATTGGATTGTGGTTCCATGTTGGCAGCTATACAGTACAACCATGTGTTTATGTAAAAGTTGTGTACATATTTCAGCACTATAGTATTGCTTAGAAACGAGTAACACTAATAGCTCGTCGTTTGAGGACTGGATCTCTGCAGGCCTATTTCCTCTCTTGAGTAAATTAAATTTAGATTTTGGCTGAAGGTGCATCATGATGTGGCATTGTCCATAAAACATGCATCTTGCTCGTATGTTTCATGTGTACATCGAGCAGCGTGTCTGGTATTCTCCCAGAACCAGGACTCCAGAATGAATGGATGTATTGTGAAAGAGCCAAACATTCCAGGAAATGAGTGTTCCCCGCCCCCTAGTCTCCTTCCAAAGCCTGGACGGGACGCTTGTTTTCTACAGGAGCTTTTTTAAGTCCCAACCAACCCTATGGATGCCTGCACCAACTATGAGACCGAATCCATTTGATGACGCCAGTACTATACACATCACTTGTCATTATTAGTGGAGCAATCAGATGTTCATAAGAAACACGGTGACAATAGGCTATATTATTGGTAGGTGGATGTATACTTGTGGTGCCTGACCTGCCAATGATACAAAGATTTGCAGTGAAAAGACGTGTAAAGCATGTGTCAGACGACTGAAGGCATGTAGATTGTGAGCAACACGTTAAACAGCAAAGTTGTGATCATAATGAATCAAATTGATCAAATTTGGCTATCAAATATAAAACAGTAGGCTTTATAGGGTTAAGACCATTTCATAGTGTTAGTAAACCTTAGACCATATATTTTCCATCATTAATGTAGGCTATATTTAGGCTATTTTTAGGCTACGCATTCACTCATTCTAAACAAAGACAATAATCTACCTTTTTGCTTTAATGCCACAATAGCCTATACCTTCTGGAATGCTCAGGGTTAGGTGAATAACATACGAATAGAACACATTAGCATTTGGCATTCAGAGAAAAACATGCTGTAAAAACTTTTTCTTTTCTATACAAATTACACAAATGCCATTCCACACATAGGCTACACTTGTGGTTTACTGGAAAAAATGTCATAATGCCATACTCTGTGGTTATACACTGGGTAGGCTATGGAACCTTAGTGGTGTTGTGCTGTCTGCGCATTTGTGCTACTGACAGGAGTCCAGAGGAAAACGCAAATGCACTGCACAAAACCCAAAGCAGCAGCAGCAGCAGCAGCTTCAGTCCAGACACAGGCTCAGCACTGGAATCCCAACACGTAGGTATCCTTATATGGGCATTTTCCTGTTCGGCAGTGTTACGTCACTGCGTGACGCGCGAGCAGGTGCAGATGCTGAGACTGGAGGGGTCACGAGAAAGAGACGGCACATTAAATATGCATTTCATTATATGCGACCTCAACACGCATTAACGAAATACATAGTCAGTGATAAAAAAAATTATATTGAAAAGCAGCAAAGTTGGTCCAGTATCAGTTTTGTCTTTCTTTCACTGCCTCATTTCCACATAGGCTACTTTGTAACTGAATTATACATGACATATAGGTCTACATGGTATAATATACATTATACTTATAGATGACAACACAAGACCTGATCAGATCAAAATATATTAGGTGAGCATCAGTCTGCATGAAATGATTTAAAGTACGTCATATGCATAAGTCATGCATAATTTATAAGGACGTTATGCATGGCTTTATGCATATCAGGGTCCATCAGAACTTTATGAATGAATATGTGGCACGGACCACAGCTCGTCCTCACAGGGGTTATCGATTCCCCGCGCGCAGCTTTACTACAATAACCTCTGTTTCACGCGACATTTTAGCTCAGTATGGACTAAACGATCGTATGCGCGAGTGTGCCCAGAAAGCGCAGTTTTCCCCGCGTGCGGAATGGTACGGACCGTTTCATTCATAAATCCAGGCGGACTATAAATAGGCGCTCGCGGAGCTGAGTGTCACTGAGCAGGTTTATAAACCTGGAGAGAGCGGCTCCGACATCACGAAGCGCATCTGGATCGCAAGAGCTGGGATCGAGTCA